CTACTGTCATTTATCTGTGTATTATCTTTTAGCACCCGGGGAAGGTTCTGTGAGTCCTGTGCCCCCTTCTTCTACGGCAACCCTCTGCTGGGCCAACCCTGTCGCGAATGTGACTGCGGCTACGCCGCCATTGGCTGCGATCCAGTCACGGGGGCCTGCGAGTGCGGCTATTACACCGCAGGACCACGCTGTCTGGAATGCGAACCCGGCAGCTACGGAGATCCCCTGATCGGAGAACCCTGCAAACGTAGGTGTCCTTGAATCAGTCTTTGCTTCTCTTTGTTAGTACTCGGGTGCTCACCAATTAGCTAGTCGAAAAGAGTAAACAAAAATGACTACTTACTAATCACGCTTAGTATAATTACCTGTTGTGGATCCGATCACACATGTCGTACTGTCAGTACGCAGGCTTGTTACCTGTTCAGTTACGACCGGCAATATTTACTTAATCCTGAATAGGTACTCATTAGTGGGTTACAGGAATTGGTCTTTCCGTAGTGTCAAGTGGTTCATCCTCGAGCTTCGCCGACAGCTGCTCAACGTCCAGCAATTGAAATATACGTGTTCCACCCACTATAGCAAGACATCTAGCTGATGATAGGTGAGAGCATCAGCCAGAAACGGCCACATACATTAGAAGGAGGGCGTAAAAACAAACTGCTTCAGTAAGTATATGTAACAAAAACATCCTGTTTGAAAGATTTTGAGGCAAATGTAGCTTATGTAGTCCCACCCAATTATCTCTACTTCCAGCATGTTGTCCCATGAAAACGGTGCTCGTAGGGTTTTGTGGGTGGAGAATTAGGATAGGCAGTGAAATATACTTCTATAACTGCTATATGCATTTTTATTTTATTGTATTTGGAGGTCTTGTTGATTTATATCAGTTGATTTTCCTAATCTCTATTATCGTTTAACGTATTGCGGAAAAGTCCGATTATCAAACTGCAGGTTTCTTGAAATCCTCGAAAAATAGAAATCGTGGTTGGGAGGTTGTCTACTTCAACTTACCTGAAGTCCAACTTACCGTTCTGAAGTTAGATTAGTGTAGCCCGCGGCGCCAATCGCCGCGAACACCTTGAAATTACATGCGGAACAACTTACTCCCAGCGGCCGCGGGAAACAACTTCGACTACATTTTTTTTCACTTTACACTTACTTCTAAAAATTTCCGTCTCTGCCTATCGTATTTCCCGTTTTTCACTTTACACTTACTTCTAAAAATTTCCTGCTCTGCCTATCCTATTTCCCCACCCCCCAAAACTCTACCCGTTACACTTACTTCTTAAAATTTCCTTCTCTAGCTATCCTGTTTCCCCGCCCGACAACTTACTCCCAGCGGCCGCGGGAAGCAACTTCGACTACATTTTTTCACTTAACACTTACTTCTTAAAATTTCCTTCTCTATCTTTCCTATTTTCCCACCACCCGAAACCCTATAACAATCGTTTTCGTAGGACAAAACGCTGGGACTATGGGTATGTGTGTGGGACTACATAAGCTACTTTTGCCGATTTTTATAAATAAGTCGAATATAATCTACCTTTATAGGCAATCGATTTCAATTACTGAAATACGTGAAGTGTTCACCGATATTTCAAATGCAATCTGAAACTCGTCTTTATCCATCATCCGAACCGTTTATAAAGACATTGGACGAAAGAAAATGTTTCATAATACGCAAATAATAGTTTGTTTACGGTTGCATCCGGCCATTCCATTTAAATGTGTTAGTCGCTGGCCGGCCTATCAGTGTACTCATGTAACGAAGCTATCGTCGCAACCAGACGAAAGTTGATTTATTCTCATAAAGTTCATCTCAAGTAATTTAAAAACGGAAGAACAATACATGTGAAACCCTGTTGTACTCCATACCCCAACATTACCTTCTCTGTTAGTGCCGAACCTTCCTCTTAGACATATTCTTAGTTTCTGCGTGGATAGATTTTCTGTGCAATTAGCCCCTTCCGTTTTCTCGGTTACATGGAATTTTTCGTTTTTCTGAAACGGTTGCTGTGTCTTGCGAACATACTAATAGTTAAAATGGATCCGATGAAGCAAAGGGACATAGTTAGCCGTCATCAGCCAGTCATGCTTAAGCTCTAGGATCGGAATCCCCGAGCTTCGAATAGG